TCAATGGAGCCTCCCCAGTACAAGTATAATTGATACTACTTCTGACCACAGTTCAAACGACCAAGCGCACTAGAAATGAAACAAACAAAATTATATACAGCCTGCCGTGAACTGGCGTAGGGGGAAGCAAGTGTAAAGCGCACAAGGAGGAGAAAAGGGGCACAACACACCGCTGGGACCAAAGAACATTCAGCAAGTGGCCAGCTGTTTCTTGGCCTCGCGCAAAACTGACCCATAGGAAACAGCTGACGTGTGCACTTTGGTGGAACGCGCTCAAAAAAAAACACGCCACCCAACATAACTGTGGAATTGCTCAGGAGAACCTTCGGTTTCAACCATGTTTTGGTAGCGCCAAAGAATCAATCACAGGTTTGGGTTGCAGGATGACATCAGCCGCTGTCAAGTTGAGCACCTCTCGAATCCTCAACAAACCTTAGTATTCACGATCATTCCTTGAAGAAGTTCTGACTTGATGATATGGGCACCAACGCAGTCCAAGGATGGAAAAGGCTTCTGATCGCTCCCAAGTGCACATAAGTGCACCCCTTTCCCTTTGTCGCCTGAACCGGGCCACGATCCTTAACATCTTGCAGCCTCTCGACGATTCACGTGGTCTACGATTCTTCCGGCAACAGAACTTCCTTGAGAAACTTGGCTCCGTCAGGCTGCTGAGGCCAAGCCCCGCGAAGCTGCACTGATCGGTCGCGCCCTTGGACAAACGGGCACGCACTCCCGCCAAGAAGTGGGCTGTCAAGGCACTGGTTGTCCTGGCGATCCGAGTCCGACATTAGGGCGGGGGGGCTTGTAGTTGAACGGCTTTCGCCAAGGCCTGAAAGGCCTGGAAGCTAAAGGGGATGGGTTTGGGTTTGCGCCCAACGGCTTGCCTGCGGCCACCTCCGGCTGGATCTCCTATGGGCTCCATGGTCACTGGCACCAAATCGCGACTCTCGCCACGTGCCACGTTCATGGTCACATCCGCCATCCTAGGATAAGATTGGCTTCCTGACTCAGTTGGCTTACCTCGCCCGGAACCGGATCCCAAAGCTTGTAAACCGCGAGGGGCGTGCGACTCCGTCTGGTCGGATAGACGAAGGTTTCACACCAATCGAACTGCTGCCCAAGTCCAATCGCTCCGGCGGGATTGGTCGTGCTGACCAGGACATCTGAACATATCTGAACCACCACGCATGCACCCAGCCATCCATACCTCATCCCAGGGTGATCGTCCTGCAGATCCACCAAGCACTAGTGCCATACAGGCTACGTTTGTATCCCGCTCTGATGCACCAGCCTGGAGGCCTTGGAAATTAATCGGCCTTCTCAAATTAAGCTGGCCCGAAGCTGAGGCGCAAGGAACACTCCAAACACCATGGAATGTATTGCAAAAGCTGCAACGCCAAGTGCCCCAATGTCAACAACTGAAACCAAAGTTCCCACAAAATGCAAAAAAATCACCAAATAGATCCAAATAAAACTTGTCCAGAAGCCACTCAGCTCCCAAGGTCCCTCGATCCGGTATTGAAAAACAAAGGGGACAAGGTCAAGTGCTAGCTTCTGCAAAAATTCCGAGGCCACCCAATCTGCCAACTGTCGCCACACCAAGCCTCTGGTCCCATCCCCAATTGCCAAAAGGAAGGGCCAACCTACTCATCCGGCGGCCTATTAAGGAGGTCTTGAGTCTTGGGCAAAACGAACCCGTCGACAAGTTCCAAAGCAACGAACGTGCTAGAAAAAGCACGGGCCATCAGGGCCGAAATGTCACATTCCAACCATTTGCTTGTCAACCCTGACTAACTAACGACCTTGTGTTCAAAAAAAATATCTGAGGACATGCAACGTTTTATTGTGCCCCAAATATTTTGACTTAGGCGTAATAGCATTAGCCCGGCTAAACGTGGGTGGCACGGCCTGTGGCGTGATTTGACGTTGTTGTAGGGTACTCTCGGGGTGGCGTCTAGGGGTGTCACGGGGCGTGGCGTACTTTGGTAGTGATGCTGTGATGCTCTTGACGTGTGGGCGGCGGTGTGATTGCGGACTGGGGTGGGGCTGGGGCGGGACCTTAGTAGTAGCGTCCTTGCTCCTAGTAGTATGGCCTGGAGCCCCTAGTAGCATCCTTAGTAGCGATATTGCTCCTAGTAGCATGGCCAGGACCCCTAGTAGCATCCTTGCTCCTAGCAGTACCCTAGAAAGGAACATTGAGTACCACAAAGAGCTTAGTAGCTCTACAGTTCTATTGCACAAATTGCAGCATGCAAACATACGGTTCCAAGCCAAACAGTGAATCACATTCTCTATCATTCTCTGCAAAAATTGGACGCTGAGCCTTTTCCAACAGCCACATCCAAACACCCCACTGTGCACCCCTAGACCCAATCACGCCACACCCAAAGCACGCCCAACCCCGCCAGAGACTGGCGCGACCAAATCACGCCACGGGCCGTGCCACCCACGCGGGCCGCACCCAAAGCACGCTAAATCTCGCCACAGGCCGTGCCACCCACGCGGGCCACACCCCGCGACATAGAATTCATAGGTCTTTGAAAATCTAGTGTTAACGCTATTACGCCGAAATCAACATATATTTATATGCGCCTGCATGCGCAAACGCCCACACTCCTGTGCCGAACTTGCTCTACTCGACTCAGAAGAAGTCTCAAAAAACACAATACCTGTGCATATACATATTTAAACTCAATACGTACACAGCACAATGTAAATCCATGTAACATACTATAAAATATGTTCAAACAATGGAAGATGGCATGACCTTTCATTCGCTTCGACCGCTTTCCCTACCTTGTCTGTGTCCTCCAGTTTGAAGGCTGATTGGAGTATCTCCGCAGTTCCTTCGAGGATGGTTCTCCTCGTGTGGTGAACGAAACCAAAAACTAACATCAAACATGATCAGTGACATCAACATCTGCGTTTAAAAGCCCTTACAAGCTGGGGCACCGATCGCCCGGATTTGTCAGTGCCTCCAACATTATATTCATCAAAAGCTGTGCTTTCACCTGGCCGGCTTCGTTCACACGAAGGTTACCAGCAAGCACCCTGATAAAACGTGGCTTATAAAGCACGTGATTTTAGAGCTGAAGAGAATCTTAAAGGATCTTAAAGGCTACAAACTTTGTCCGCATGACTGTAGCTGACGCATCCCCATCCAGCCAAGCAGCAGCCACCAACGCAACAACGAAGGGATACCCGGTGAGCTGCGCTAACACCGCTAAGAAAGTTGCCTCCCCCGCTGCCAAGGATTGCAAAGTGACATACCTCGCCAATTGTTACGACTGCCCACAGCACATTCTCGACTTTTGTTGGCAGGAGGCCCAGGACACCATGGCTACACGTGCTTTCTCAATGCGTTCTCTCTCTCATGGCTGGCATGAGTTGGAGATGTGAGCAAAAACATCATAGCGATTTGTTAGCAACTAGCGCCCTCATGATAGGCATCTACATTCTAAATCATATCAAAGCTCTCCATGTCTGTGGAAAGTTTATATGTATCCTTCTCATAGCTCAGGCACTGAGGCAATGTTGACAAGTACATCGCTACCTCAGGCAGAGCGGCAAAAGAAACTGTATTCAACTCTGTAGTACAGGCATAGGATATCGAATAGATGGTACCGGAAATAATATTGAAAAACACTAGCATAAAGGGCAAAGTTCCCTCATCACACAAAGCTAAACACACCAAGGGGCATGTCCGGGATGAAACGTGCCTGACCTATATATCTAGTAGTTGCATCGTACATTATACACTCCATTCCAACCAGGTGACCATTAGCAGCCCCTCGCCTTCTCGAAGCTGGCTTCTTAAATCATTCTGAGGTTTGTGAAGTAGCGTGCAAAAAATGGGGGACACCAATTACCCAAATACCCACCTTGAAGTCCATCACAAGTGTCCAAGCATACACATACCCTGTTTGAAGCCTCTCTTCGAAAGCTAGTTCTGCTTGGTTCTGCTGATAGGTCATTCTGGCAGTCTTTTCGGGTGCTCTTTCAACCATTGTTCTGCATCTTCAACTGCCATTCAAGCTCGGATCTGACTGGATACTGATGTACTTGACAAAAGCTTATGATCACTAATGGCTTTCACTCAAAACCGTCCACGAACGGTGTAGCGCGATTGGTGCTTGCCAAGTTGCAGAGAGAACAGCGTTAAATAGGCCAATGTAACACAACCACCCAGTCAGCCAGTGCTGTGCCACATTTCTTGGCCTCTCCTCAGTCTCCGCATCAAAGGCACCTTTTGCTTGGCGTGCGGGCTGAGAATGCAAGAATCCTGCTCCAGACTCCAACGCGCTTCCAGCTTCCAAGGCCACCATAGCTTCAAAACATCAGGGCCCGCCGTTGGCATCTCCAAAAAAGTCCGATTTCAGCCGAAACCACGGAAACTCGGCAAGCTCAAAACTCAACGCATGCGAGACAACTTATCCAAAGCTTTGGCTGTGCGGGCTAAATGTCATTTTGCATGTGTGACTAAACAGGTCACTTGCGCCAAGAATGAACATGAAACAACCAGTATAATGTAACAAGTTAAAGTAGGTGAATAGCCTGCTTGGGTGCAGCGCACGTTTCCAAGAGACCAGTCTATGTCTCTCTTGTGAGGACAAAGGCTTCAAAGGACCTGAAAATATTCTGGGCATGCCTTAACTGTGGCGCAACTGCACCCGGTTCTTAAACCATCGCAGCCTTCTCGTCTTCCAAAGCCAGGCATAAATACAACAAAACTTGAGCACTGTGCCAAAGAGTCGTCATACTAGTGCTGATTGCAAGTTTGCAAGCACTTAGCATTTGCAGTCAGCACCTTCCGCTGCAGTTTCTTATGCCCAAAGCCAAAACGAGTATATACAATTTTTGGAACCTCAGCATAGATAGTTGACGTGCGATGTGAGCGAAGGCATTCTTCGTTTGAACATTCTACCTCTCAAGTTGCATGATCATGCAAGCAATCAGTCGACTTGGGGAACCTTGCCAATGACCTCTCACGTCTCGCCCACCTCTTCTTGCAACTTCTCCACTGTGCTCAATGACCTCAACTGCCAACCAGAAAGGGACACAACCTAGCGAGCTACATCATCGTATGATCGAATGAATTGATTTCCATGAGTAGGGCCGGCAAATGCACACAACACCAGGCATCTGTCACACTAGCGCTCCTCAATTCAATCGGCTGATTGAACACGGCAGCTGTTCCTTTAGACCTTTAGATTAATTCTCGTGAGTTCAACAAATGCCACATCACCAACGTTTGGATAAGCAGGCAGCTTGTTCATCAACGACCTAACCTCAGGCGTCATGAGAACTTCGACGCGCTGTCCGTGTCCTGCAGGGTGCTCTCGTTGACACAGTTGACATGATTGTTCTAGAATGTTCATAAAAAGAGGTACAAGCCATGACGGCATGAGACAGCTGAACTGTCAGGTCTATGCCAAAAGATTCGCTGCAACTAATGCTATAAGGTCTTTTTGAAGGGCTGTCATGTCTATCCGGTCCATGAGGCTCTGCTTTCAAAATGACCCAAATTGTGAACTGATGGCACCCCATCCCTGGGCCCAAGCCTATTGCCCGCATGCGGTAGGCACCCTGCGCATAATCCCGCAATGTCATGTCCTGGTCGTGCAGCATTGGCAATCAGGCGTCGCTGAAGCCAGCAAGACTTCTTGCGAGCCAAGAATTGTATGTGTAGCCGTTCCCGGGCTGGGATGTTTGACTATGGGGTATGCTTCGGGGTATGCTGTGCCACACAAACTGGACATGCAAGAAAAACACACAAAAAAGTATGTATATATATAAATATTACTATTTTTTAAAAAATACCATCATACCATCATTACTTTGACTAACAGGTTCCCTGAGAGCTTCAGAAGTGGATATGGGTAGATTTTGGCGTCGTTGTTTCTTCTCAAGTTCTGCTTTCGCATACCCTTTGTTCGAACAAAACGCGGTTCTTGTGCACTTCTCTTAAGAACCCAACCCTTTATGTAACAAGTTTCGCAGCATTTGCCCCAAGCTCGGTCTCAAGTGACTAGCGTCAAAGGCAGCCTTATTGCATGAATACAGTAAGAACACTCATAATACTCATATTTGAATGTCAGCCTCAGGGACCCCCCGAGACCGCCCACATCAATCATCTACCTGCAGGATGTCCATGTCCTAGAGTTGTCTTAGCAAATTCGTTCAAGTTAGTTCTAATCTAATCAACAAATAAAACATGATTAAATTGCATTCCCGTTGGAATTGAGAAGACTTAATGTCAACTAATCGCAGCGGTTGAGGGCTACCTGACCTGGATGTGCCTGGAGAAGTTCCAGTAACATGTCCTAAGTTCAGCGCTGATTTTAAAGACTGCAATCTTTACATACAACTATACAACCTTCTAATTCTGTATCTCGTTCATTCTGCCAATGAGAGCAGCTTGGGTGCGTGGGTGGCCAATGTTCGTAAACGGTGAGAATCCAAATTGTATATTATTTAGTTTAGTTTAAAGTTTTCACCCTGCGGTTGACAGAAGCTGGTGGGCCTTGCTCAATGTAAGCGCAGCAGTGCAAAGCAAAGGTTGTTTGACATCCATGCCTGCGCCGCAAAGAAAGCTGAGCAATCTGCAGGAAATTCAAAGTGAGCCCACGTGAACCCTGTGACTGACATTGCGCAACCTCTATTCACGAGGTTTTGATCGGCAAGGTCGCAAAAAAACAAAAAACAACAAAAGAGCAAGAGCGATGGCCGCCGCCATGAATATCCGCCCCCTGTCTGTCCATGCCTGTGGTATGCACATGGTCATAGAATGTGAAGCGCTGAGCAGGGCTCAAGCCACATTGAGCCTTAGAATGTCAGCCTTGTGAGGGTTGTTCGTCAGTTGCATGTGTCCTCTTGAATCGTCACCACAAGGAAAACTCTGCTCAACACAATCTGCAAATTATCTATATACTCAAGTTCTCAATCTGGAAGACACAACTCAATCACCCACTTGTGCTGACAATTCCGATTCCACACAACTCAAACGCTACGTCACATGATGCGCATGCGCCAAAAGCCATATTCCGCAGCATTCTACAGGATCTTGAACCAAGGAGTGCGGGTTTTCAAACGAAACTGCTTTCTACAGAACTCATTGGTTCAGTGCTTGGCCTGCTCAAGCACAGCATGTAGCTGTTTCATAGCTACCAGTGCTTTGTTCATATCAAATCACCTTCATCAGTCTGCCATATGCAAAGTATTTCTTTTGCAAAGGTGGTGCATGCCATCAGAATGAAACAGCAACAGCATGACGCGACCGGAGTGCATTTGGACGCACATGTGGCACCGGTGCCTTCCGTTCCCAAAGATGTCTGTGCTTTGGTTGGAGGACTGAAGCGCTTGTGGCTATCCTCCACAACCACCACAACCACCACAACCTCCACAGCCGCCACAACCACCACAACCGCCGCAGCCACTTGCCACAGCCCGGTAGTCAGATTGATGACCATGGAAGCCCCCATAGCCTCACAAATGCAATGAATTATATACCGTTTACAGCACTCCAATACGTTTGCAGTGATGTGATGTCCGTGCAGGGACTCGCAAGGACAGAAGAGCCAACCAAACTTTACCAACTTCTTGGAGCCACCACTCCGGCAGGGTGCACACCCTTAGCAGTTGACACACGCCGGTATTTTCATGCATGTACCGTATCAAATCCTCCCTATGACCAATGCAAAAGCTGTCCTTGCACCTGAACGATGTCAATCAAGCAGCCGATGTCCCCAAAATGGATATAGCCTGCACCATACCATAGGAACATATCGTCCATGTCACCAGCCGCGGTATCCCTCCTTTGATCCTCCTGAACTTTCGCAGCAAGCTGGCAATGAGAAATTAAAGGGAACAAATAAAGAATCTTAGATCTGGTTGATTGCTGCATGGCAGCTGTAGCGCAAAGCTTGCGGCTTAGACAGCCATAGCAAAAGTAAATCAAAGCAATCATGAAAATTGAACCATCCGTCCTCGACATCTCTCACTGGAATACCAACCACAACATCATCAGCCGCCACCTCTCCTGCGCTTGGCATGAGATGGAACCCGAAGCTACACCCGTTGCAAGCTTTATCCCCCTTGTGACTGACGGTTTTCGTGGCTGATTACGGATGTGCAGTATGCTTGAGGATGTCCACCGACCAATGACTTGGAACTGAAGAAATCATTCACTGGCTATCGATTGCTCACTCCTCCAGCGGCAGTCAGTAGCTTGAATTCTTTTTGCCTTGGATCACACACAAGTGCAGCAAGGAACAATCGGGGAGCAGAATATCTGCGGTTGTCCAGCCAAGTCTTTTTCTGTAAGTCTCCCAAAACCGGCCTTTCGTGGCCCTTTTGGAACTCTCAAACCTTAGGTTTTCCTAGCGCGCAAGCCTCATATGCACCTCTTATCAACATCATCTGAGTACAGCACATTACAGCACATTATCGTGCATATGGCACTCATGTGCTTCCAGCGGGCCTCTTTGGACCCGCCTCCCCCCCACTTTCCCTACACCTAGAACTCACCGTGTTCACTAAAACTAGCTTCAGCCTAGCCTATCAGCTGGCTTTTGTAATGAATGGGTTTGGATGGATCCTTTGCCATCGTTGAGGTCTGTCAGCAACACGGGTTGAATGGGCAAGTGCAGCAGCTCGAAATAGCCAGCAAAAGCACTGTGTTGCACCATGTTGCACTGTGCGCATATGTACACATGTCATTGTACATTGTTATATATTACATTGAGGTGTCGCAAAAAGTGAAGTGTACATGCAAAAGAAATCAGTTCAAAACATATCAACAAAAATCACAAAACATGCTTCTCAAAGGGTGCTGCATCTTGCAGGGGTAAAATAGTGCAACACTACTGCAGCGTAAATACACCCACCAAAAAAAGTAGAGACCGTGTGGTGCACACACGATTCACAAAGCCTTACAAAGGATGCATGACTGCATGGAGCATTCTTCACAATGCAGCAACAAAGGAATGTCAATGCGAAAGCAAACATGTTTGAACGGATCTATGCACAGCCATAAATACACAAACCCACACAAATTGATACATGTTGATACAAGTTGTATCATGTTGTGCCTATAAATCTTCAAAGCAGCCTTAAAGTTCTGCCAAAACGGGCCAGTGCGTGAGGGTTCCTCAGCCGTTTATTCCCTGTCTCTATGTCACAGCCCCTTCCAAATGTTGCCATGGTGCTGCACTGAGAACGGAGGATACATTGTGGCCCCCAGTGGCATGCTGGGGGCTTCCCCTGCCTTGCATCCAAGGACTGCCTCAGACTTGGCAGGGACTGGTATAGGAAATTGGAGGCGAAAAGAACATCTCAGCAAACGAAAAATGTATGAAACAGGTGCGCACATCGTTGCAAAATATGCCCATTGTTCAAAAATTGAATTGTATACTATAAATTGTAAGAGGGCTTGACAGGCCTCCTTGCAGGTTGAAAATAACAATGACAGCAGCCTTATTAGCTGTGACACACCTTTCCAGGCGAGCAACTGTTGGCCAAACAATATCTCTGAATGCCACATCTATCAAGACATCATGGAGGTAATGATGTGACCCAAACGTTGGTGAAAAAAATTGGCAAAACGTTCACTAAAAACACAATGTGTTGTACATTGCTTGTTTCTGTGCTTCATGCACTGGCTTGAGGAAAAGCCTCACGGCCAATGCCGGGTATCCGATTTGTTAAAAGGTCCCTCAAAACAGCCGAACACCTCCAGGTCCCCAGCATGGTCGGTTTCGCGTGGTGCCATTCGTGGCTGCAAGGACACATGCAACGCAGCGATGGAAAGCCTCAGTGACGGTTTTTGTTTCATTCTGTTCTTTGTTCCCCAAGCAGTGTGTCCACACTAGCGGTAACTGGTTAAGGACGGGTGTCTGATCGAGGTGCTCGCATCCGTTTGCGGCTAATTCGTTGTTATTTGCGGTGCATTCATTGTCATTCACCTCGAGATCTTCGAAGTGCATTTCGACTGCGCAGGCTGCCCTGTGCATTTTTTCGGTTTGGTGATCACTTTTCGTGGCAGGCGCAAGGGAAACCTCGTGCTTTAGTGGTCGAAAGTATGCCCTTTGAAATTCAGCGGGCCTCCCGGGCACAACCATACTATACAACGTGGACCCCTGTGATTTGGCACTATAGGATTCAGAACACTTAACAAACAACATTGATCGGGAAGTGAAGCTGATCAGGAGACATAAGCTACCTCTTTGCACGGTATACAATCACAGCACATTTGTCGGGAAACAAAACCCATTAAACTAACAAAAATACCTGATTACTAGACTTTCCGCACTGTAAACGTTCCGATGACTTTCCGTCAAAACTATTGCGATGAACAAGGTTCAATGCGGATCAGCACGGCCTGTCAGATCCAAAGATTGTTTCCATAATTTGTTTGAGTCATGGGGGTGAGCTTCGGTGAACTTGTGGTGCTGGCAAAAGTCAACTCTATAGGGCGAACTTTGGCGTCGCAGGATTTTGTTTGGGGACCTCCAATGTGTCAGGGCTGTTGGCCAGTGACAAAATGAAAGAGTTTGTTGTTATTATTGAGGAAGTTGCGTGCTTTCTGCTCAGGGTCGTAATTTCATAATTGTGAAGAGTGGTGGGAGATTGTAGAGGCTACAAGCAGTTCCCGATAAGAACAATTTGACCTATAGGAGTGTCCCTTCGCACATGCCCTGCGGCCCTGCGGACCCCGTTTTTTTCCGGCCCGCAAAGATGGCGTCACGCAAGCAGCCCACAACGGCGTACTCACTCTGCCAGTGTGCATGCAGTGGTTTCTTCTTTTGCTTTTCATCGGTGGCTCACAGCAACGCACCGAAGTCCAAGAGCACAGCCGATGCGTCACCGACTCACCACATCCTTTTGTTCCACACAGTGCAAAGAGTCCTGCGCGGTAGCAGCTGTTTATGCGGTTCTCAACGGTCGACATAGGAACATTTCCCGGCTGTCTAGGATCAAAGACTCCAGGCTTGGGCAATGTTTTGTACCAGCTCTTTTCCTCATGTCTTTGGCCCTGCCAAAGCTTGAGCTGCTACTGTAGCCGCTGTGGATGCAGCCTCTGTTGCCAACATCACTCTCCTCGCCAGTTCTGCACCATCTATCTGCTGGCCCGCGGCTCCACTAGGGCTTCCAGCTGGGCTCATCACCGGAGAACCCTCCAGACCAGCCATGGCGTCACAATGAGCCTCACCCTTCCGGGATCCTTGGCTCCGCTACCATGCGAAAGCGGTCCTTTTCTCGAACCTACTACAGCCTGCGGCAAGTCGAATGTGAGACTTGAGTACATCTGCAAATGTTACGTAGGCCTCCTACAACCCCTTATCTCACTTCCTTCGCATCACAAAACTCAGCCCAGCCTACGGCTGGCTTTCGTGATAATGATGGTATATCATGGCAACTGTAGAAGGCAGCGGATCTGGACAAAGGCCTCATTCATCTCTTTGCCAAGCAGCCCGAGGCAGTACCCGAATGCAAATTCCACACCGCCTGCAGCACCATTGAAGCCTTGGAGCTCAAAGCGTAGCACGAAGCACACAAGGTGCAAGCGGGGAACGCATAGTGACCCTCAAATTGATCTGCCACGGTCATTTATGTCGGTCGAACAGTCTAGCAAAAGCTGGCATCTTCTATTCTGATGGTTGAGGGTGCAAAAATGTGGGTTGACCCATTGACCTGTTTAGTATTGGTTGCACTTGATTCTCGTGCCATCAAATGTGACAAAGGGCCGGCTGGGTAGTGTTTGGGTTTAAGGAGCAGTGCGGCTGCATGCAGCCCCAACAGTGGTGTTCCGGATGCGTGACAGCGA